ATATTTCGGAATTTTTATCTCGTGTGTTTTTTGACAATACCGATGACAGCAGTGAAGAAAATCGAAAATTTGTAAAAGAATAATTTTGTGTTTTCAAAAATCCGCGTTGAAACCAGGTTAAGCGAAATTTGGAAATAATGTAAACCCAAGGAATTTATTCCGAGTATTTTTAATAATTTTAAAAGTTTCTATGTTAAATCAAAAAGGAAGATATTTATTCAGCATTCCAATTATATGTAAATTTTAGAATTTTAAAAACGATAGAAATTAAGTAAAAGTAAATTTGTCAAAGTAAAATTTTGCGTTTTCGAAAATCTGGTACTTGAGTGTCGTTGAAGTTGACAGAGCTGAAAATTATTCGTGTTCTTCATGTCTCAGAATTTTTATTTCGTGTGTTCTTTCGAGAATAGCGATAATAAGGGTGAAGAGAATCGAGAATTTGTAAAATAATAATTTTGCGTTTTCAAAAATCCGTATTGAAGCAGTGTTAACTGAAATAAATAATTGAAAATAATGTTAACACGAGGAATTTATTTCAAGTATTTTTAATGATTTTAAATCTTTCTATGTTAAATCAAAAAGATACATATTTATTCAGCATTATTGTTATATGAGAGTTATCTAAATTCTAGAATTTTAGGAACGATAGAAATTAAGATTGTTTTAGCGCAAAAATTGCAAAACTGAATAAGATTTAACGAAAATACAAAGGAATTATTTCCAATCATATTGCTAATTCCTCAATTTTTAATTGTTCACATGAATTAATTTCCAAATAACAGAATATATATACATACCAAAAAAAGAAAAAAAAAATAGGAAAGTTATTTTTTTTATTAAAAATGTATATACACTTTTCTCTAAATACTGTCATAATAAATTACACAAGTGCAAGAATAATTTATTTCAGCTTTTAATACTCCACTATGATACATGTAGTTGATTAAAAAGTAATATCAGCTCATTTGGTATCAAACAGCAGTCATTTCCAGAACAAAATTGTATTTAAAAATATACAGATTACTCCCTTCCATAACCTTTGCCATTTTTCAAAACTCTTTATTCTATTTCGCCAAAAGAAAAAAAAGAAAAAAGAAAAGAGAAAAAATGCATTTCACAGATTCGCAGAAAATCCAAATTTTATTAATGAATTTTCAAAATGCTTGAAACTAAAATTGTCACAGTACTTTTATACCAAAAATCCACGCATCCGTCATTCTCTATATTTACCATTCCTCCATTTCAATCTATAAATTTGCTTCTCCAAAAACATCGAACTCGCTCGATATTTGGAAAAAAGAAAAAATTCATGGTTAAATTGAAATATGCAAAAACAAGGTTTCCATTTAAATAACCTCGCGAGGCACGGTACATGGTGAAAATATTTTATTCGGTGGCGAAGGGAAAACGTGGGAAAGAGGTTTGGAGCTTGAGGGAAATTTGCATGAAGGCAATTTCATCGATTAACTTAGCCATCGATAAGCAAACATTTTTCTTCGCTGTCGGCGTAGCTGCGACAACGTGAAACGGTGTTACCAAGTTGGAACCAATAATTACTTTCCTCTTGAATGATATTGCTTCAGAGAAATCGAGCAATTAATACTAGTCTCCTTTGTCTTCTCGAGTTTCCTCGAGAGCAAACTTCCTGCCAGGTTCTGTCGTTTCTGTTGCATCCATTGTTACTTCCAGTTGGTACGCGATTCTAGCAATCTAATTATCAGTGGAACAAGTGGTAACATCTTAAAGTTGAAAGTCAGCTTTGTTACTGTCTATTGACCGTTGTTGCAACGACTCCATCGAAATTACTAATTACCATCACCTACAAGCACTCCGAGGGAATCGTACAGGCCATCGTGCTTTGTTTACGAAGCTCGTTAACCCTTTCTTTTCCTTCCTCTCCGTGAATTCATGCTCCTCTGTATTCTCTTCCTAACTTTCTCCACCTTCTTTCCCTTTCGTCTTCTAAACTTTCACCATTTTCTCTTCATTTAATACGTATTTTCTGTGTGTGTATTTTATATATATTGGTGTTAATAATTTTTGTTATGGTGTTTATTGTTATGAGAAATTCATTTGATTACGTGATAATTATTTAATTATGTGACATTTACTATTGTGAGATATTTATTTCGTTGTATAATATTTATTATTTCGTCTTTTAAACTTTCACCATTTTCTCTTACTTTAATACAAATTTTCTCTGTATGTATTTTCTATGTATGTATATAGGTGTTAATAATTTTTGTTACGGTATTTAATGTTATAGGACATTCATTTGATTATGTGATAATTATTTCATTATGTGATAATTACTATTGTGAGATATTTATTTCGTTGTATGATATTTATTATTATTATTTTTATTATTATCATTAATATGCATTATTATTACTATTATTATTTATTATTATTATCATTATTATTAATAAATATCAGAAGGGTTAATAACGTTTCATTAGTACCTACTGATTTATAATTGTCCCAAAAATTGCTATTATATCGAGATTTTAGTATTGTGACGGATTATGAATAAAAAATAATTTTTATTTAATTAATATATATATATATTGATTTTATTATATTCTCAATCAATGTTCCAACTTATTCATATACAACATGAAACCGCTTTTGCATACAACTCAGGTATTAATAGAATGATTATTAATGTTAATAACACTTATCCTACCCCAGATCTACTCAGCCAATCTCTTCACTCTATAAAACAGCTACTACATCACACCTCTCTGTAAAAATTTTCTTTTTCTTATACTTATACACATCTCGTGTGTTTGTATATTTGTGTATTCTCATTTTTATTTCTATTTTTTCTTGTTGCCATTAATTTTATATCCCACTGTAATAATTTCCTTGTAATTTTTCTAATAGGTTAATCACGTATAAATAAATAAATAAATAAAAATTTAAAAAGCAGTGTACATTCGAGATCTCGCAGAGCGATTTAACACTATTACTAGCATGACTGGTCAAACGATTGTTTTTAAAATTTCGATTAGAATTTCCTATATACAACGTAATTCCATCGCTGTTAAATTTTACGACTTTTGCTAAAATATACATATATTACATTTTTCAACGTTTACTCCTTTTTTTATTTTTCGTTTACTATAATAAATAAATTATAATTATAATTTGTATATATCAGTATAGATTTTTAATTACGTAAAAAGCGAATATTTTAGCATCACGTTCAATTTTGCGAAGAATTTAAAAATTATATTTATCAGTATTGCACAAAGAGATGCAATTCAATTAATTTGAACGTGTAAAAAGGAATTCAAAACATCACTTTCGATGTATCTTATGATTATTATTAATCATTCTAAAAGACTTTAGTTCTGTGATAATTTTTAGTAACAAAAAGGTCTGCTATATTTACACATTTTAATTTTAATTTTAAACACTGCGAAGAATTAAAGAATGACGTATCATAGTGTTACGCGAGGGGGTGGTTTAATTAAAATCAATGGCAAGATATTCGCACGCGCGATTCTCGACGTGTCACGTTAATTACCAAGAGCAACGAAATTATTTCGCTTCGAAAAATTTGTTTAGAAACATGCCAAAACGTCATTTTTAATTTAGCAAAATAACAAACAATTACGCACTGGGGTACATGCTCGCGCTTAATTCATAATTCCCGCGTAATTCTTTACCTCGCATCACGACTGTCAAAGTAACTTTTGAAAATCGTGAGAATTATTCGGAGACTTACGTTATCCCCCAAACCGAATTTCCATCGTGGACAATTAAAAATTCACGAAGTAACATCGAACTTCCATTTCACTTTGCAATTTCTGCTTTTGCAGAAACACGGAATTACAAATTGCAGCCGTACTCTTACGAAATCCGTGGTAATGCATTGTACCTTCATGGAACGTAAGTCCCCGTCCTTTTTCTGTTTCTCGACGTTATCAAGCTGCATTTTTTATCACTATAGCAACCTTAGGGAATCGTGTCTGATAAATATTGCCTCGACCATTACGTACACCTTGATCTCCCGTGTTGCAATTTTCCACGAAATTCTCTTCTCTATCTTCCCATGACCATTTTCACGAACTTTCAGCTGTACTTCATATTTTCGTCTGATACTTTACGTGAGCGGAATCGAACGCTAGTCTCTTAGGGATCAGATTTCCAAATGGAAGATTTATCTCGACTCGGTTTAATTTCAGAGAATAATTTTTAATCGCTTTTATCGTCTTCCTTTCATTTCCCTCCGATGAGGTTAATTTGGAAAACGTCGAAAGGAAAATTCACGGACTCGAGAGATTTTTAAATTCATTTTTCCAAACTTTTATTCTCCATACGTGTGAGTAATAAACAGATACGAATTCTTCTGCTTTGGCACATTATATTATATTTCATTTTTATGAAGACAACTTTGTATTTTCTGTGCAGCGACGAAGGTTTACTTTAACTTGGAGAAATGATTTTTAATATCGCGAATTTAATCGAGAAATTAGTTCAAAAAATATTCCACTTTTATTATCATTCTCGTTAAGAATTTTTATAATTATTTTTATACGTATTTCTGTCGTAATAATTTTCTGCGATTTTTATCAGCAATTTTTACAAGTATTAGTATTTTCTATCAGAGTCTTCTTATCTACGAAAATTTTTCAATTTTTATTTAAATTCAATTTTTAATCGAATATAATAATTTCAATCCCGTGGTTTCTGCGATATGAGACTTACAGTTACAAATTCAGGAGTACCGCTTTACAAATTGGCGAATCGAATAAAACGCGGAATGAAATGTCGAAATTAACGAAATAACTTATGCGCGAAACGATTTCGTTTATCCACGATTCATTGATCATCGAACGATCACGATTAAAAGGGCGGTTTAGCGAACGAAAACCGAAACCGCACTTTTAAGGAATTAATAATTTTCGAACCGGTCTGTGACTTTCGCGGTGCGAATTTTCCAGGCGTATGGTCGGTGATTAAAAATTGGAAATTGAAAATGAAAAGCTTACCTTTGACGGAGGTAACCAAAGTTAAATGTTGAGCATTCATCTCGGCGAGCCGGCGGATCACGTCGATCTGTTCCAAAGAAAGTTGAACCGCATTCAACTGTGCCGCACCGCATGGAACGTAGGCAGACCAAAACTGGAAACAAGTGGAACAGCTAAGGTTAGGAACGCTTCCGCGATTTCATTTCCGCGAGGATCGTGGGAAATATAAATTACGGCATTAAAAACAGGAAGCAGAGGAACTCCACGGTATTGCATGAAATATTCGATAGGAGAGAGCTATGAAATGTTGGGCGACGCGAGTGTCATTGCTGAAACGCGGATTTTTCCCCAGTATTTTGCAATTCGGCCACAATTCGGTTTTCATGCGGTATTTTACATTTTTATTGTGTACCGGCGAATGTTTAACTAATCTGTAGAAAGTTTGTTTTTGAAGGTATATCGTGTCGGTGACAATGCACAGATAGACGTGACAAAATTCTTCGTTTAATCGAGAATATAAAGCATTTTTTGACATTTTATTAATTTAGATGCTTTTTTATATTAAAAAAGATCGTTTATTATTTATATGGACTTAATAATCCTCGTCGATATTTATTCTAATCTCTTGAAATTTCTTAACTGTTAATTAGATGTGAATTAATCATTCTTTGGTTTGAGGATTAAAATTATTCTTCCTGTAATATTTCTTTTATAAAGAATGACGAGTTTTAATATAGAATAGTATGGATTGCTATATTTAAAAAGAAAATATGGTCATGAATATGTATGTAATTTACATTGAACCATTCATCATTTTTCAGTAATAATTTTTTAAATTCTAACTAGGAAATATATAACTTGTCATAATTATGTAGTAAAAGATATATTTTCCTATATCAGATACCAAAGGAAAATGCAATAAAGATAGTAGCAGGATATTTAGGTTTAAACTTAAATATAAGATTAAAACTTAGTTTAAATCCTCTTACAATTAGATAAGATTAGAACTTAAGTAACAAATACACAAAATGTAGAAGAATATATAAAGAGTATATATTCTAATAAGAAAAATATATTTTTTCATATATTTGAAGATATAATATAATTTATATCTTACAATTAGTATAAAAAATTGTAATATAATATATACATATGTACATATATATGTACATGTAGAGATATAATATGCAGGGCGTCCCATAAAAATATATACACTATGTGATTATAAAAACAGTATGTATTTAAATGGATATTAGATGAATATTAGAAAGAATAAGGTATTAAAGTATGTATCCATTTTTCTGGGACACCTTGTATTATAATTTTAGAGTACTTCAAACAATTGTAAAAATTTATACCATTTTTTAAATATAAAATATTTTGAAAATAATTGGATACTGTTGGTTATCATGTTCAATATTGCTTATTAGTTATTGTGATCGGTATTACCAAAAATTCGAAGGTAAAGTGGCTATGGGAATTTTTGAAAAAAATTTTCGTCTCACTTACTCGTCGAGTATTTGACGTTTGTAGCACTGAACAAGATCGAAGAGATTTGCAGAGTGAAGGGATATGAACGAGTTATTAATATTCACCATGAATTTGCGTGCTTTCGACATCATGCGCAGCCAGTTCACCATTGATTGTAGCGTCATAATATGTTCATGACCATAATACTTGAGGATACTCAGCAGTGGACGATAGACCGTTAATTAACACTTCTCCCCTCACTGGTAGTATTATACTCACGCGTAATTATAGCCTCGCTTATTTTGAAAACTATTTTGCACGCATAATAAATTAGTAAATTCATTTATTAACGTTAATATTCCTATATATCGAACGATAAAAATATTTCAATAAAGAAATTATTTGCGAAAAATAAATTTCCTTATTTTCTCGTGTAAAATCAATTTACATCAATTGTATTTTTAATAATTGAATAGTTGGTATAGAATTTTTCAAGAAATTTGTAGAATAGTTGCAACCATGATATACAGTTGGAATAATAATATAATATTGATAGTACCTACAGAGAGTTAATTTAATGCTTTATACAGCACTATTGTACGTAAATTCTTACATGTACAACTCAGTACAATAGCGTAAATAAAGTCGTCAATATTAGAAATATCGACCTATAATATATAATAAAATATAGTCTATATAGATACCTACTAATAATTAAATAAATAAATAAATAAATAGGTTAATAATTAAATAAAAATAAATACCTAGTAATAATAAAATCATACGATGACAATCATTATGTATATATAATTAAATTTCTCTCTGAATAATTCGATATTAATTTTGTCAAAAGCACCTGCGAATTTTCAATAAATGCAAGTATAACATATACATAAAATTTCGCCATCTTGACTGGTTTGATAGTTTAGTTTGACACCATGGGGGTACAGTATTTATTGGGATGTAGTACTAGCTTATGTACTATTTCACTTGATATATAATAGACCTGTTTAAATGGGAGTGTATAACACGATAATATATAAAAACGTGTAATTAATTTTTTATCCTGCAATTTCTTAATTAAATATGCATAAACGATATATATATATATGTTAAAATTGTTTAATTTCCAATCATTTTATGACATAATTTAAAATTTGCTTTCGTAGACTGGTTATTAAATTGAATTAATCTAATAATTAAACCAAACTTACTATAGATAATTAAATAAAATTTGCCATATCATTTGCATAATTTCCGTACCTCAGAGTCAGTATAACCCAAGTTTATTCTTTCGAAATTTAATTATACAGGGTGGACCGCTCCTACTGTTTTCATTTTCAGTAAGTTGATTTTTCCTGCGTTTATTAGCTCCTTCTACTATAATAACAAGTCTAACGTCCTGAGTTTTTCATACTAACTCTACGAAGATGAATTACATTCTCATTAAACTGAAATTATGTATAAGGTATTTTAACATTTTAATAATTTGTATAATTTTATTGCGAATAAAATACGCCCATAGTTGCTAATCAAAATTGAATAACAATGCAAGGGGTTAATACAATTAGTATAACAAAAATCAGTTATCGTTATCTTCTTGTCATTTATTAATATTCCACCATTTATGAGAAATCATTTTTAATTCTCTCTAAAATACAAACTGAACTAAAATAGTAGAAGACTATCGAGATGGTTCACTCTGTATATACACACCACTTTATCATAACTTTGTACTCTATTCGAATAATACAGACACGGTTGTGTTAAATAGCAAAGTGTCATTTAACTTTCCAAAATTAATCAATTTCATTTATCAATTTCACATATTTTATGATTTTATTTTCATGATTAATCTGTATTTTTTTTGTCCTCTAACGGGTTTACGTCGTTAATAAATAAATAAATAAATAAAAATATTAATTTCATAAAAAGAAGAAAAAATGCACATTTGGACCTTTTTCACTATATTCTCTAACGACAGGGATAGTAAATAGGTAACACTGGTTCTCAGGTACAGATTCATCGGACTGACATTACACGGTGGTTAAATATATATAGTTACACGATAAATAAATAAATAAATATATAAATTTCATTTAAAAAAAGAAAAATGTACATTTGCAGCTTTTCCACTCTATCATCTAACGACAGAGATGGACATAGGTAATACTGACTTTTAGATACAGATTCATTGGACTGAAATTATACAGTAGTTAAATGTATATAGTTACACGATAAATGAATAAATAAATAAAAATACAAATTTCATTTAAAAAAAGAAAAATATATTTGTAGCTTTTTTCTCTCCATTGTATAATGACAGAGATGGACATAAGTAGGTAACACTGGCTTTTAGGTACAGATTCATCGGTATGTAGCTAAATGTATATAGTTAAAATTTGTGTTCTTTTAGTAAAAATCATTAAAATAAATATCATTATTATTATTAAATTTATATTATATAATATTAAATTTCAACTTCCAAATATTATTGTTATTGAAATTAATATTAATAATAAACAATTTCTTAAACGATTTAAAATAATTGTTAATATTCCAGAATTAAAAGATTCATTTTTTGATAAAAAATAATTAAACAATATGAAATTAATCCTAATCCATTTCATCCAATAATAACTCTGGAAATATCATATATCAATTTCATAGAAAAAAGAAAAAAATAATGGAAAATAAGGAAAATGGATATTTTCAGTTTCTTCTCTCCATTTTCCAAGGATGGAAGATGGACTTAGGCTACACTGGCTCCGATTCATCCGGTCGAAATTACACGGTACCCGAATGATCGTTTCGCAGAAAATTATATACAGGACGAATAGAAAGTTCTCCAGAGGCAATCTTAAGAGCAAAGAGCAGCGAAACGGTTGCCTGCATTTCGCTAGGTCCCGCTTTGAACAGCAACGTTACCAATTACTCGGTGGTCTGATTACCGCGGAGTTTCTGTGCCAGTGTAAATATTGAATTTCGGTCTTAGTCTAACCCGATTGGCATCCCCGATTTTCACGGTGCAGCTACCGTCACGTCAATATTATTATATTAATCGCGTGGCGATATGGCGGCGACGGATGTCGCGGCAGAGCGAAATTTCGCGGGCGATTCGCGCTGCCGGATTTGCTCGGATCGAAACGAAAAACAGAATTAAGCGAATTTTCATTAGCATCTGAAAAATTTCTGTAGCGAATCCTCCTTACGAATAATCCGACTATAGCTTCCCGTAGAAATCGGTGAAATTAAATTCCAACTTGCTTCCCTTTTACAGATATACTCACGCAAAATGGCGAATTTTCAAATGCGACTTCAGCGAGAATTTATAATAATTTCGTGATCAGTTATGGAATCTTATTGGTAGCATGGAATTAATCGTACAGTGATTAGGATTTTCAATTGTAACAAAGAATCTGGTTTCACGTTGCTTTATTACAGTATCCAGAACTATGTTCATTGAGACAATGGGATAATGAATTTTTCAATCTTGGTAATGAGATAGTTACATTTCAACCAGGTTCAAGTATTCAATTTCTCTCTTTAAATTAACTTTGGAGGTTTGTAAACAATTTCTCATATTGTTTGTCTGTGATAAATTGTGGTCTTTTGAATTATGGTCACTTTTGTTAGCCATATTTGTTAATTGATTTATTTCTTACTTCGTTATTTAAATTCCTC